TTTATTCCAGTGAGCATTGTGACTTTTTAAAACCAGCCAAATGACTAACCTGCTTCTCTGCTGGCCTCAGCATCTGCAGTGTCTATATAAGGGACCTAGCGGGGACTGACTGGTTCCCACGGGATCCACTGAGGCCCTGGGCGATGGGAGGCCTGGATCTCCATCCTCTCCCCTAGGCTGGTGGCCGGCCGCTCCTGGGAAAAGCCAGTTCCCTCTGCAAATCCCGGGAACTGGAGTGGGGAAGCTCAGGCCGCGGCTCTCAGGCCCTCACCCTGTGTGCTGATGAGAGTGTGGAGGATAACAGGCAGCACTTCCTGGTGCTCCCTACTGCTGCTGAAGCAGCTGACAGTTTCTTTGTGTCCGTAGCACTGGGGACTGAACTCAGGGGCGCCTTGCCACCCAGCCACACCCTCAGTCCTTTGTATTTTATTTGTTTGAAACAGGGTCTTGCTAGGTCGCTGAGGCTGGCCTTGAACTTGCCATCCTCCTGCCTCAGCCTCCCGAGTAGCCGGGATGACAGGGGTGCACCCCCCTCCTGGCAATAGCTCCCCGTTCTTGAGCACAACTGGCCGGTCTCAGGCATTTTGTGATGACACCATGTCCCCCACCATGTGCCCCCCATCTGTCATTACTTGAGGGAATTCACAGCCTGAGCTTAGCTCACAGTAGGCACTTAGCAAATGGTGAAAGGCTCCATCAGCCCAGTGGGGAAAGCTGGGGAGGAACAAGGACCCACAGGATGGTTTTAGGAAGGCATTGAGGGAATACGGAGACCAAGTGGCGCCAGGACCGAGGGGCGCTACGGGCATCTGGGGAAGGGGAGGAGGTGAGCCAGAGGCCCCGCCCTTTGCAGGTCGGTCCCACCCAGGAAGACGCTGTCCCTTCTCCTTGGCGACTCCCTACCCTCTCTCATGCAAATGGAAAGTCCGGCTTTTAATCATCAGAACCTTTCCTTTTAAGCCAACGTGGTTTTAACCAAACTCAGAAAACACTCTTGGCGTGTTTGTAGTGTGAACCACATTTTTCTGACTGCAGCCCCTGGACGGTGCAGGAGGCCTGGCCTCTGCTGCTGTGGAACCTCACCAGGACGCAGCCGCGGTCTAGAACACCGCGACACCGTTAGCACCTCCCTTTCTGGGCTCTGAGGTGTCCACAAACCCCAAGTCATCAGCCTGCGCCTGCGCAATCATGTCCCCGCAGCCACCAGAACCATGTCACCGTGTCCCCAGAATCCCTGCGCTCAAGTGTGGTCCCTGGACGCGCAGCGCTGCCCCCACCTGGGAACTGCTCAGAATCTCAGGCTCCTGAATTAGGATCCGAGTTCTAACAAGAGTCGGGGAGAGTGTTTCCCTCTCTCCTTCACACACAGGGTCAAGTGTAAGAACTGCCGGCCTCATTTGGATACCACAAAACAGAATCACTGACCCACACCACTAAGCCCATCAACCCAGAGCCCTACTGGTCACATAAGGGGGGACTAAGGGGACCCTGGTTTATAAGGGAACAGTGTCCACACCCCCTTGAAGCCGTTGGGCCCCTTTGTGAAGAATCACCTTGAGTACTCTTAAGGACACGGTCCCTGACGGTTAGCCCTGGCCTGGGGACATGCCCAAGAGCCTCTGGTACCCTGCTGCCCCTCAACTCTGGGGCCCCCAAGAGCCTTCCCACGCTCCTGGCACCTCGGGGAGCTGGGGAAAGGTCTAATTTTACTGAGCACTTACTAGACCCGGGGCCCTTCCAGGCTCCGAGGACTTCACCTCGTTTAACCCGGGCCATGGCCCGATTCCACTCGCTGGGCCTGTTTCCCAGGTGGGAAGGCAGGTGCGAGGTCACTTAGGGCCACCGGCAGCAGCACAGGGAGAGCTGGACGAGAGCTCTCCTGCGGGGTGCGGTCCTCCCCGGGCTGCCTGATGTGCCCAGGTGGACGGTCCCCACGGGCCTCTGGTTTCGGTCCCGGGGCTCCAGGCTGCCCGTGGGGCGCTGCCCTTCGCCCCTGTCCTCTCCCCTCTGTGAACCAGGGCTGGGACGCGGCTGAACCCCACTTACTTCCTCCGCCGGTGCCGGCGATCCTTGTCTTCCCTCCGCGCGTCCGCGTCGTAGGTGGCGGGAGGGCCGTGCCGGTGTCGCCTCCTGCGCTCGCCCCCGTCGGGGCCCTCGCCCTCGCCCTCTCCGCCGCGGGCGGGCCGGCTGCCCTCGCGGTGGCGCGCCCGGCGCTCGGGCTTGTCGTCGGCCGCCTCGTCCCCGGGCCTGCGGTGCACGCGG